TCATTTGTATTTTTAAATACATGTCTTAGGCTTTTTACAGGATGTTGTAAGTGTTAACCTTATGGAGTGAACTAATAAAAAATTATATATGATATTGGATGTAAAATTTGTTAGGATATATATATATTTTATATTATTAAAACAATTCTTTTATATGATTAATATACATATTAATAAAATTATATGTAAAAAATACTGTACAAAATATTAATAATATTATAACAATGGGAATTAATGTAGAAACTAATAAAGTCTTTCTCTCAAAAAAAGGTAATCTTTTGGATAATCTTATGTTGCAATGACTTATTGATCTCTGTTTATTAAAATTTTGAGTAATATTTATTAATTCTTTATATAATTATTGGTCATAATTTTTTTCACATGCAACCTTGAGCCGATTATATAGTTCTTCACATTCTTTTGGCACAAGTGAACATATAACTATTGCACGCACAATTTTCATGTTTTTTTATGTAGTCAATTTCTATTTTCATGTCTTATAGATCCTTGAGTACTTCTAAATCATAAATGTTATATTGTAGAACATCATCATTAAAAGAGCTCATTAAGAAACTTGTTAAAGCTATATTAATAAATTTCTCATAAAGTATATTGATTTTTGTATTAACCATTCCTTTTGTTTGTTCTTTAAGATATATCCGATAATACAAGTATTCTTCAGCAACATGTTTTAATTACGAATTCTCAGATAAAGTAAATATTGAAAATAAGTATTGTAATGATTTACAGCATATATCTGAATATTTTCCTTCAAATTGACTACATTCATTCGTTCAGGAATTCCTAAAAGTACTATTTTCTTGTATCATAACGTATCCACATTTAGGAAATAAGGAATATACTGTTTTATACTATAATGTAAAAAAAAAATAATAATATTACAAGAATCATATACTTATGAAAAATATTGAATAAATATAATGTAAAATAATGTATACATTTATTAAAATATTGTAATTGATATTATAAAAATTCTATCATACACTCGATTTCGCCATATTAAATATTATTATATATTTTTCTGAATAATTGTATAAAATATCTAAGCATACAAACTTATATATACGAAAATTAAGAAGAATTATATATGATATTAGAACATATTATTTATGCTTTACTAATATTATGAAATTGATTGATAAATCATATGGAATAAAATAATCATTAGTTTTTATTGTAATTATAATATGGTACTATTTCAGGTGTCTAGTATTTATTCTTATTTATTTTAATGAAAAAATAAAATCATAAGTATAATGATTAGATAATAAGAACAACAACATTGTTAGATAAAATATGAGAATAAAGATATCGATAATGTATTATGTTTCAGAGTTCATAATTTTAATTTTTAGGATTGCTTTTTTCTAATAGAGTTTTTATATCTTATGTTAATCATTATAGATTACATATTCATGTGTAAATACTATAAATAATATTTTAAAATATATTATCTTCATAATAAAATTTTTGACATAATAAGCATATGTTTATTTTTTATTGCTGTGAATGTATAATTATATTATTTTATTTAAATTGATAAGAATATAACAAAATTAAAAACTTATTAAGTGTTTAGTTTTCAGGGTTAGTTCTAGGCTTTATAGTTTACTGTTTACTATTAATAATTCAGTATTCTTAATTATGATTTATTATAAATATATTATTTCTTTTGGAGCAATAAACAATAAGATTATTATTTCTATATATTAACTGGAATGTTATGATTTATATTATATGTTTTATTCTGGGATATATTGATAAGCATTACAATAATATATATATTTTTTCCTACAGTATATGAGTTAATATTAATATGAGACGTTTTATAAATTAATAAAATATATATATAAAGGAAGTATGAATATATAAAACTCTTTTTATTGTTTAATATTTGTAGGCACAATTAATATTATTACTGTTTTATTCTTTATTTTTTAAAAAAGTTTAATAATGTGTACTAATATAATATTATAATATTAAAAAATATTTTGTATCAGAATATGGAGTTATTATTTTTATTATTATATTATAATAAAGAAAAATTTTATTTTTTCCAGATTTCTATTTATTCTATTTTTATTATTACCCTGTTTTTATTTAGAGAAATAATTTTTTTTATATGTCTTATATATATATATTCTTTAATTTTACTTACTATTTATATGTTAAAGTGTTTCGTATTTTTAAGAACTAAAAATTTTTATTCATATATATGTTATTTGAAAAATAAAATGTTAACATTTTATAAAATATTTAATTTATTTACATTTATGTTTTTGAATTAATGATGAATAAACATCCAATGTATATATCATTATTATATCAATTTTTAATTTCAAATATATAAAAATGTAATATTACGAGTAGAAAATAGCATAAAATATGTAATATATAAACCATTATAAAAATTAAAAAGGTAATTAACATGCAAATTTATATGCATATCAAATAGCACAATTTATTTTACTCATAATATGAGTTGTTCATTAATATTTAAAATTCATTATATATGCTATATAAATGATTCTCACACTAAAACATAATTATAAATAAAATATAGATATTATTGTTTGAAATTATTGTTTTAAAGTATAATTTCATTAAATTTAAAATATAAAACAGAAAAAAAAATTTCGTACATGTCAAATGTTAGAATTTTTAGGTACTCAAACTTTATCACTGTCTTTATAATATAATCTATTTATTTCATATTTTTTGTATGCATTGTTATGAAAATTTAATGAAAATTAATAGTAAGTAATAAATATGCAATATATTTAAAATATAAATATATATTTAAGATATTCTATTATCATACCTTCAAAATTTAGTTACTGCTTTAACAAACCTACTGTAAGGCAATATATTTTTCGTCATAAATAAATAAAATAATTGCAATAAAGCATTAAATGGAATTTTTATTAAATCCAATAATTAAGGTGAATGTATGAATAACAGGGTATATATTATTTTATTAAATAAATCATATAATGATATACATATACATATTTATATAGTACTAAAAAATCAAGTATAAAAATATTTCTACCCTAATTTATGAAATATGCAGAATTAAACATAGAATATTTTAAGAATAATTGAAAAAAGTTATAAAATTAAACATATAATTAATACAATAAAAAATGGTGTTATAATAAAACCAGTTAATATATTTCAGAAATATTATATAACTATTTTATTACATACATTATGTAAAAAAATTTTAGTTATTTATTTATTTAAATAATGAAATGAACAATATTATTAGTGATATATTTTTAATTTTCATTTGTATGAATTGATATATATGTATTAGAAGATTATGTATATAAGAAATGATACTGAATAGTTCTACAATTATATTTTTTTTTCAAAGTTCACATTTTAAATGAACTTTATAAATTAGCATAATAGAAAAAAATCTCTAATTTTTATGAGCTAGAAACTAAAATTAAATAATATATTACGTGCAACAAAGATTAATGTAATATATGGATTATATCTAATATATATATACATGTTTACTAATTAATAGTAAAAAATTTTAGACTAATACTTTATTTATACATAAAATTAACCCTAATGTAATACAAATATTAGAAAAAAAAACATAGAAAATTTTCATTAATAAATAAAAGAATTGAAAACAAATAATTTATATTAATTTCTATTTAAAAAAATTCTATTCATATATTTTTTTAGTAAGTATTATATATTTACATATATATAATAAAAATTGTTTGTTCTATGTCTTTAGAGTAATTATCATTTCAGTGACAAATGCAAATTAATTTAAACCGCGTACATATTTTTCATAAAATGAGAATTATAATTAAAATACATAATTATGTATTTTCATTTTGTGTTTTCTTTATGTTCCTTCTACAAATATGAATTATTAGATACCTCTTAATTCCTATATATTTTTTTAATGCCTTATATATTGCTTATATAATTAGAATTGAAAATGTTATCTATGTATTCTAATTTTAAATTTTGTATATATATATGTTAGATCTCCTTGGAGCAAATAAAATTAATTCTATATTTTTTATATAGAATATAGGATTTTACATCTTTGTTTTATATATTTTATAATTGTATACAATGTATTATCATATCTTTTTAATATAAAGAAAACACTCATACGCACATGTCTTATGTGCTAATATATATTACAAAAATAATATAATAATTATTAGCTCAATAATCCTTATTATAAGGATATATATGAATTAGGATTTAAAAAAAAAAAACTGTAAACATGTAATTTTCTATCATATTATATAAAAAAATTCTAATTTATTAAATCCCAAAAAAAAGGAATACAAATTTGCATAAAAAACATAAATAAAATAAAACAAAAATGTTGTATCAGGTAAACGAAAGTCTATAATTTTAATATAAATAAAAATAATAAAATATACATGAAATTATTTATCAATATCTTAAATGTGACACAAAATAACATACATATATTTAGAGCATTCAATAGGAATATCATATAAATTTAGCATATATATGTTTGCATGTATGATTAACATTAGTATTTAATAACTATAAATTCATTTGGGTTAGTTCTATGTTATATAATATGATATGTTTTTATAAAAATTTATTTGAAATGTATTTAATTATTAGTTATATATGTAATTTCCATATGAACTATCATATTAGCTAATATTCTACATTATTTTTTTATTGTTTTGTTGACTTTTTAATGTAGAAATGCCATGTTCATTTAAAAAACAATATATAGTATCAAAAAAAATGCGAAATACATCTTTTGTATTTTTTGTTCTACATTTATATGTATAGTGAATAAGACCTCAAAAATTTCACATTGTTTTATTTATATGTCTATATCATGATTACAAAAAAATAATATTTATATGTTCTTTGTTATATATAGACAATTATTCTATTTCACATAAATTTATCAAATGTATCATTGTAAATATATATTACAATAATTTTTATATGTTACATAAATAATATTTTCTTATTATTATATTATAAACAATAAAATTAGTCAGAATTATATAAAATAAAATATTTATTATTTCTAAAATCACAACTTGGTGTTTCAGATAATTCCAGTATATTTCTTTCTTTATCTGTATTATTATATTGTTTTCTTTTCTTTATAGCTCTACATAGATATCAGAGAACTATATGACGTGAACTAACTCATAATAAAAAAAATTAATATATAAAATATGTAATTATTTTCTAGAATATTTTTCACTTTAAATCACTAGAAATTATACTATTGATGTATAAACATACATATGTAACATAATTATTAACCTTATGGAGGATAAATAAAAAAGAAGATATTGCTAATGTTACAAAAATTGGAATTAATATAAGGGTTGTTATATTATAGCTTTGAAAAGAAGGTAAAATTTTGGGGATTTCAGATCAACATACTGTGTTTATCATTTTTTTATCATATTATTTTTTATATTTAATAATTCTTTACAAAAAAACGTGTAATTATTATAATTACACGATTGTACATATGTTTTATATGTATCGGCACACTTTTTGGCGCAATCACAATTATGCCCAGATATATTAGTTTCACAATTTATTTTAGCCAGTTTCGTGTACATGTCATGTATGACTTTGAGCTTTGACCTTTCATCATCTGTAATTGTAATATCATTATAATTAGTGCATTGAGGATCTTGCGTCCTATTATTTAAAGTAATCAATTCATTAAAAAGTTTTTTAATTTCTGAACCGTTTTTACCTTTTTTATAGTAAGAATCATACAGAATGTAATACAAGTATACACAATGAGCTTTTTTTAGCTGGTCATTCTTAGAATCAATTTTTTGCATTTCATTCAGATATAACAATGTTTGAGCACATTTCTCATTGAATTCTTTTTTAATATCTCCTTGAATTTCACTTTTGTATTTTTTACAATGTGTAGTATCATTTTTGCGTTATTTTCAGCATCTTTTATACTATTATCACATGTAGAAAATAAATTTGCATATTCATACTAAAAATATGGAAAAAGTGTAATTATGATAAAAATCATATGAGTAAGGAATTCATTATAGTAATTATAAAAAATGAATACAAAATCATCATAATACAGTAATCTATTATATTGAACAAAAAGCTCACAAAGTTTATTTTCATATTTGATAATAATATATTTCTTTAGGAATAGTGTGAAAAAAGGGATAAAATTATGTGAACATTCAAATAGTTTTTAATTAATACAAATTATATAGTATGAAGAAACACACTGTTTCTTTTTTTATAAATATGGTATATATATGAATATTGCATGTACCAATTCAATCATTAATTATTATATATTATAATATAATTGAAGCATTTGTAAATTTATACAATCTTTTATATTATTTTAAAGGAGGAAATTAAAAAAAAATACACAAAAAAAAAAAATGAAAAAATATAAGGAGGATTCTAATAATATATATGTACCGCAATAATGTATAAGAATTATATAATATATTCTAATTCAGTGAGCGTAAAAAGTTAATATAATTCTTTTAATTTAAATATATATATACTAATTTTATATCTAATTCATTTTAATTTTCATAGTATTATTTATTATTTAATAAAAAATATATAAAATTTAAGAATATATAAGTATTATGGATGATGAAAAAGATAAAGCTTTCTTTACTTGTGAAAAAATGATATAAATTTACTAAAATAAAATATGATCATTTATAAGATATATGTCAATATATTGTATTCAACAAATAAGATCTATATATACATATATATATAAGGTAAAGTATATAATTAATATTACAAATATAAATATTTATATTTTTTTTATATATATAATATATATGTGGGTCATATTTTTATGTGATAAAACATGGATTATCAAAAATTCAGACATAATCAATTTAATACTGATTTAAGTGTTTTTCATAATATAATTATATGAATTATAGAAGCTCATTATATTCAAACATTATAACTGCAAGGTTCATTAATTTATATATCCATAATTATACCCTTATACAGATGTAGCAAAACTGTATGTTAAAATGTCATGAGTATATAATTTAATGAATTTATAGAATTCGTTTATTTTGAAATATTTTAAATTATATTAATATTTATATCATTTTATATATTTTTTATTATATACATATGATAAAAATATAAATTTAGATATACACTATAATTCAGTCAATGTGTGCATACGAAGTTTAAATTATAATAATAATTACAATACTTATTTACCATATAAATGAAAAATATAAGATCATGAAATATATACAGTATATGTGTTTTTATAATATAAATAATCATATTTTATTATAGAACTATTAAATTTTATCCATTCATTGTTAATTTATAACTAAAACTTATAAACTCTGTATATTAAAAAACATAAAAAATTATTTTATGTTAATAATTTATTATAATACATACTTAGTATTAATAAAAATGGCATTCATCCAAAAAGTATTCCTTAATAATGAATTATTTAAAAAATTTAAAATAATTAAGGATTGCATAAATTATGATTTTTTAATCGGAAGTATATTAATTTTGTACTAGTGAAATATTATTATTTTTTCATAAATTGTCCAATTTAGAGGCATGAATTATATAAGTTTTATATAGAAAAAACTACATATTTATTAAAAATTCATTTACTATTTCCTAAAGTTTTCTTTAGTCATATATATTATTTATTAGTTTGTGATTTTAAAATAATTATTAAACATTATGTACCTATGAAAAAATTGAACCTCATATAGTTTAAAATTAATTTTTTATGATATAAATTAAGTGCATTATAACAAGAAAATATATTTATAAATTAAAATTACCTTGCTTAATAATTAATATCTTAAGAAAAATACTAATGAATTAACCCATATTATGTTATTTTAGAATTTAATGTTGAAAATTTTCAGTAAAAAAGAAATTATATATGAATTCAAAATATAGTGAGACCTTTGTAGATAAATATGACTCAGAGGAGAACTACGAATGGTATATTAAAGTATGGATATGATTATATATATTATCCTTGTATATAACTGAAATGAATTCATCAATATCTGTCAATGAAGTAAACTTTAATAGACAGAATAAGAAAAATATGAAAATTACAAATATAATAAGATGTAATACATTGTACAAATATATATAATTAATAGGATTTTTTAAAGAGAATATATTAAGCTTTTGATCTAGAAACATTTTCGTACGTAAAGATTTACATGAATAGGTGTAAAATAATTGATGTCTTAAGGATTTATTTAAGAAATTTGTGATATTTCTATGCAATAAATTAATACAAATAATGATATATACAAATATAAAGATTAGAAGTTAAATTCTGGCAAAAACTGCTTAAATATATAGGGGTCATATAAAATGCATAAAAATAAATAAAGTACTGGCTGCTCATGTGTTTAATTTAAGTGACAATCACAAATGAAATATGACTTCTACTGGAAAAACATGTTTGTACATATAACTGCATATTTATTTTGTTTTAATAGCAAGATAATGAACTTACCTAATGTTAGATATATTGGTCTTTGTGTCACCTTTATTTCTTGGATATGGTAAAATATATTTTATACAAATAATGTTATCAAAAAAAAGAAGTGAAGTAATAATTTTGTCTCACATATAATTTGGACAGATTATACATATATTTCTATGTTATTTATCTGGCAATATATTTAATATTATAATGTTACATGTAATCACAATGTATAAATTATATTTGTTTTGTATAATCATTTGTTGGTTATTGTAAATAGGATTTATATTTAAAATTATTTATATAATCTTTAAAAAAAATATCATCATTGTTTCTTATAAACTACGACTACGGTTTTTATTGTGTATATAAAATTTTATTATTAATTTAATATACGATAGATTTAGAGTATACGTATAAGCATAATATATTTATAAATGTACATGCTATTTTGTTCGTTTATTAAAACGAATATAATTTTTTTTATATATCATTTATTAAGTAGCTATATATTACACATTTCAGTCTAACTTCATTTAATTATATCTTTGTTATCTGGAGGTATAAATATAGCGTGATTAAAAAGATTAGAAATTATTATAAGAGAAACTATATTTTATTGTTCGAAAGTCCTTTAAAATTTGTTGCTATTTATTTATATTAGTAAAATTAATTTTTATTTCAACCCACTCCTTTTATTACACTTTCACGGAATTTGTTTATAGTAACATTATTTCTGTCCTCTAGCTCTTTAATTTATAAATAATGGAGATTTTAAATATAATAACTGTATCAAATGAATATAATTGAGTTATATTTCATTGGTTCCGAGGAATAATAATGATGGTTCTTTAGATATATATTATTAAATACACTTTAATTGAACGTAACTTATTGTGAACAAATCATTATACTTTCGGTCTTACATATATATTACCTATTTAGAGAGGTATTTATATTTATTTTTATTATTTATATGAGGCATATTTAATCTATTTTATTTTTCCCTCTAATACTAAATTGAATTCTTC